AATAATAATATTATATTGGATTGAAGCATCTCTAATACCTTTTGATAATATAATTCTCCTCCTTATAAAAAAATATAAAAAATCTCAATTGGTTGTAACCTGAATTGCAGAGTTGAATCTTTATGATAGATTTTTTTGGGAATAGTGGGCTACCCGCACCTGCCAAACCCTTTAAATTGGCAGCCACTAGGATATCTATAAATATTGGAAATTAAAAATAGTGAACTTATTATAATAAAAATTATATGAAAAGATGAAATATCACAAATATGACCAACATGTGAATAAACTTCGTCAATATGTTAAATCTTTGTCGAACCATGAAGTTATTCTTGTCTAGACCAGAGTTCAATCCAAATATCATATAATTTCAATTTCAAAGTTTGAAATGTGAGAAAAAGGTGGGTAAAAGAGTGATAATAGAGAAAAAGGTGGAAGTTGAAAAAAGTGTCAAGTAGAAACTTGACACATGTTGGGATTTGGTTGAAGAATACTGAATTAATTTGATAGATTTGCTATTTACTATTTACTATTTTAACTTTTTACAAGTGTAATAGTCAATCACCTATTAATTAAAAAATCAATTGCATTAACTCTTTAAATTGCCCTTTTATTACAAATTATTTACACTAAATAAATGATATTTAAGTAATCAACTAATGTTTACGTTATATATTCTCATTATACTACGTTACGCCACGTGGATACCTTCAATCAACTTTCAACTTTCTCACTAATTTTTCTCTCTCAATGTTTTCTTCACTTTTTATTTTTCTAGCATAAATATAAAAAAATTAAACCATTTTTTTAAATAAAATAAAAAGAAATACACAACAATATTTAATTTTCAAAATATAAAATTAAGTCTCATCAAAAAACACAATTATTTTATGGTTATTAAAAATTATTCACAGTTATTAAAAATAATTCATAGTTATAAAATTAACAAATTATTTTATAAAATTGTTCAAACAACTAACAAGTCATTATCAACACAATTCCTATATTATTTTTAATCAATTATTGTCTTTATTTTAGAGACAAAATTCTTATTTTCAAATATTAATTTTTTTTTCTTTCTCTATCTCATAGGTTTTTTTTGGTATGATTATTTAATATAATTGAGTTCATACAATAATTGTTCATTTTACAATTAAGCAATACATTTGAAATTTACATGTGTATCTAAATATATTTTATACATTGTCAAATTGAATAATATTTAATAGCGGCATAGACAACTAACTTTTCATCTCACTGGTCACTATCAAAATATTATTTATTTTATTTTAATCAACAATTACTTTTATTTGAGAGAAAAAAATCTTTAATTCTAAATGTCAAAAAAAAATCTTTCTTTCTCCATCTCATAAGTTTTTATTTTTATTTTTGTACAAATATTTAATACAGTTGAGTTATGATCATTTTCATTTTACAATTATGTAACTCATTTCAAATTTATATGTATATCTAAATATATTTTATGTTGTATCAAATTGGATAATACTTCATAGTCGTCAAACAACTCTATCTTACAGGTCACTATCAACACAATCCATATTTTATTTTTAATCAACATTAATTGAATTTATATGATCATTGTTCATTTTATAATTAAGTAACTTATTTCAAATTAACATGTATATCTATATATATTTTATGTCATATCAAATATATTTTTCCGTGCGAACGCACGAGTATCTTGCTATTTTATAAATAAAAGAGCAATATTAGTAGTGTGGATGTATTTTTTATTTAGTATATAAGATATATAGTTTATTGAAGTTGATAGCATGGCTCTTTTATGAAATAATTCAAATGAAAAGACGTATAACTTCTTATTATTAAATATATTTAGTCATATAAAAGTAATTCATATTTTCAATTTTAATTATTATGTTGTATTAACCCTAGTTTCCATTTAAATCAGTTCGTCCCTTTTTGCGTTCTAGTCAGCTTCTTTCTTCAGCTTCTGAACCCTGGTTTCCATCTTTGTATCAGAGAGTGAGGTATCGATATCTTCCAATTTCCCAGCTCGGTTCTTTCGTTAATTAGTGTTGTTCTTCAATTTGAAGCATTAGTCACCTTTACGTCTTGTTTGCAACGACGCATTTCTCTAATGAAGAACAACCCACGACATTCATGGAAAAGAGACGAAGAGATTAAGTTTTGTCTTAGGAATGTGTGTTATTCTTCTTACTTTTAGACACCTAGGTAAATGTTATTGTTTATAAATATTGTCCATATGTACGAACCCTAATTTTCTATCAGTTGTATGTGGTCCAAACGGCATTTCCTATTTTTTGTATTTGTTTAATCTGAGATGTTGACCATATACTTAGTTAGTGGACTCTTAATTTCACGTTTAGTGGACCCATATGTTTAATCTAATATGCATGTTAAAAATGATTTATAGGTCAGCTAAGATTCACAGTATTATATTAAGATTACATCACAAGGGTGAACTTGTACACCCCATGTTAAATGGTATGTGGGTGGGGTAAGGATAGAAATGAGCTAGAAGACGGATGTTGACTATTTATCCTATATGGATTTAGATTCTTTGATTGAAAGTGAGGGTTATTTTAACATGAAATGTTTGTGGTATTAGAACCCTGAGTTTAGCTTTAGTAGAGGACTTAGACCCATAAAATGTGATGTTGATATGTTGAAACTCATTGAAAATCTTAGTGGATTCGACTTAGTTGATCTGTATGTGGAGAACAAGGTTGATAACCCTGACATGATAGATGCGACATAGGCAATTCATGGATTTGATGTTGATGATGATGTTGAAGTTAACAATGATAAGGAGGATAATGTTGAAGTTAACAATGGTAAGGAGGATAATGTTGTAGTTGATGATGGTGTTGAAGTTAACAATGATAAGAAGGATAATGTTGAAGTTGATGATGATGTTGAAGTTAACAATGATAAGGAGGATAATATTGTAGTTGATGATGATGTTGAAGTTAACAATGATAAAGAGGATAATGTTGTAGTTGATGATGATGTTGAAGTTAACAATGATAAGAAGGATAATGTTGTAGTTGATTATGATGTTGAAGTTAATAATGATAAGGAGGATAATAATGTAGTTGATGATGATGTTGAAGTTAACAATGATAATAAAGATAATGATGATACATATGCTGACTATGCTAGAAGTGAAAGTTCGTCTAAAAGTGACATTGATATCAGTAAATATTATATTGACTTGGATTTGAAAACAGTCTTACTTGCTGAAACTGAAATAATCCAGGCACAATATAAGAAATATCAAGCTGAGTTTGAACAAAATCATGGTGATGATTCTGATTAATTGCATACACCTGCTGAAAGTAAGGATGAGCAAGAGTATGAGACTTTTCCAAATTACAAAAGTGACGAGACCATAAAATTCCAATTGGGTATGGTTTTTAATAATAAAGAGTTGATAAGGGATGTTATAAAGGAATATGCCATGGAGAGTAAGAATAATGTGTTCTTAAAGAAAAATAATGGAAAGAGAATGGTGGTTAAGTGTATGGTTGGATGAAAATTCTATATGAGGTTAAGTAAAAAGGTTGGAAACCTATTCTGAAAAGCAGTTAGTCTAATTGATGATCATACATGTCACAAGACACCTAAAAATAGACAAGCAAAAACTGAATGGCTAGCCAAGAAATTTTCTTATATTTTAAGACATAGTCCTGACATGAAACCTCTTGGACTACGAGCTGAAGCAATGGATAAATGGAAAGTTAAATTATCCTCTGACCAAGCATATCGAGCTAAAAGAAAAGCAATGGAATGGATGCATGGGGCTGGTAGGGATCAATTCACTCATATAAGGAGTTATGCACACACAACTACAAAATTTATATATAATAACGCCATGGTTATCACAGTACCACGAAGGACCATGATGACATCTTTTACTTAACGCGCGAACATTTCCATTTATTTACTTATTAAAATTTTGATATAATATAATCACGGATGAAATATATAACCGTGGTTATATAATCACCATTTCATGGGTTCGAATCTCAGCACTCTCAAATATTTTATTTTTTTAAGATTTAGTCGCGTCTTTGTATTATTTTTAATTTTAAAATAAATTTGATATCACCATGGTTGAGTAACTCAACCGTTATGACTTGTTTTAAATATTTTTAATTGTAATATACTAACGCTTCAAATGTTTTATTTCTTTAATATTTAGTCGCGCCTTTTTATTTTTATTTATTTTTAATTTTTAAATAAATGTGATACCATCACGGTTGCGTAGCTGAGCCGTTGTGACATATTTTTTATTTTGTTTTAAATATTTTATATTTTAGTATACTGGCGCTTCTTTATAAAATTTAATTAAGCAAGTAATATATCACCACAGTTTCTGTTGTTGATCGTGGTGGTATCATTCATTCACTTTTATCACAATTAACTAGCTTGCCTCTTCAGCAGTCATTCTTTGTTGAGAAACGAAACGATACGATGTGAAACACCATTTCAACCCTAACGTTCAGTACTGAGAAATTAAACACCCTATCAACCCTAACATTCATCATTTATCATCATCGTTCATCATTTTTTATCATTTGTTCAACGGTTCATCTCTTTTCATCAATTCATTATTTTCTATTCGTTGTTCATTTTCAACCCATTGCCATCGGTTCATTTTCAACCCTAACACCAAAGCCAACACTAACATCATCGTCATCGTCAAGGAGGAATACAATAATAACACTATATGTTTTAACCCAAATTACACCTCTATTTAGTCATCACGTTTACGGTTAAACTTTTTTCCCATGCATCTACAGTAAACTTTAGTTTCCATTGTTGTTGATATTATTATTCTTGTTGTTTTTCTAGTTGTTGTTAAATGTGTGTGATAAAACTTGATTAATCTTTTGTTGTGGTTATGGTTTTTATTATTGTTGTTAAATGTGTATGTGATAATAGATGAAATAGTTTGTTGTTGTTGTTGAGGTTGTTGTTGTTTTTAAAAATAGATGTTGTCTTTGTCGTATTCTTCATCTAGTGGCAAGGAAATTATGACAAGTGATACTCAAAACAAGAAGAAAATATCACAAAGAGGTGTCACAATGCTTACTAAAGTAACAAAAGTTCACAAATCTGATAATAAATTTCCTATCGTGTTTGATTTGTATTATAGAGTAGTTGATGGTGAATACTCTTCGCTTTTTAAGAGTTATGTTGCGTTCCTTGGATGTAGCAAAGTTAGCATATTGATAGATGATTGGAAACAAGCGCCAGAGGCTATCAAAGATAGCATATAGACAGACGTTAAGGTATTAATATTAATTTTCATCATTTCAATATGACTTTCTATAATTTATAATACATTCTTATTGATTTAAATGTAGTTGACTTTTGAGATTACAGATGATGATAAGCACTTTAAAAAATGGTTAAGTCATGCTGGTATATGTTGGAGGACCTTTAAGTCGTGGCTCGTATGCGATTAAATTAGGAAGTCTAAGATTGGTCTTAAGCGTCCATGGGTGAGATATAGTTTTCTCTTGAAGAAGGTTTGGAAAAATTTTACGAAGGGTCGTCATTCTGAGACATCCTAATTAGTACTAGTCTTATTTATTTTGATAATTTTATGCAAATTATTTATAGATACTAATATTATTTTCACTATGTTTATAACAGACTAAAAGTAAAACAGGAATACAAAATAAAGCGAAAAACATTTACCCCCGTAGATTGTCTCGTGGGAGTTACAGGAAACTGGAGAGAAAAATGATGGATGAAAAAAACAACAAATGGGAGATGAGGATTCCATTAGTTGGGTCGCAACTCATCTCCACCGTCAAGGCATGAGAAGTGGAAGAGGGCTCAACTAAAATCAAATGGAGAGTACACCTCAAATGCGTCAACAGCAGTTGCTGAGAAAATTGTAAGTATGATTTGTTGTGCGTATGTTATGCGTTATTTAAATGTTGTGATAATTACAATATTAATATTATCATGCATGTATATTGTATAGGATCTGTTAGTTGAGGAGGCCTGTAGAAGCTCATTTGTTCCAGAACCACGATATGATATACTAGTAGAAGCTATAAGAACAAATAAGCATGGTGGACGCGTTCGTAGTGTTGGAGAAGGCTTCGGCCTAAGATTATACTTTACTTCAACCAGTGGCGGAGCCAGAAAAATTATATAGGCTGGGCAAAAAAATTTAAGACCGCAAATTCACATTATAATATATAAATTGTCTAAAATAAAAGAGATGAAAGAGATCATGAAACATAATCTTACAATAGCATGTTAAATAAAATTACGAGGCAAATGTCCTTTTCGAGACTTCTTTGCTGTGAATGTTCGAATAATATCAACATCATCAAGTGACTTAAATATCTCCCGCTCGGTGTAACATACCATCAAATCATTGAACCACACATCGTTGATCTTATTACGCAATTTAGACTTGATAATCTTCATTGCTGAAAAAGCTCTTTCAACGGATGTTGTCGACACCGGCAATATCAAAGCTAACTCAATAAGTTTGTAAACCAATGGAAATACCAAATGTTTCTCAGTTTGAACCATCTTTATAGCCAAACTTTGAACATCTTCACAAGTTGAAAATGAGGCATTTCTTTTCACTTGAAGAACATAAGTGTCAAGTTAATCCCTTATTGTTCCACGGTCATCATCAGAAAAGTCTACATGATAAATATCAGCAAGACGAGCAAGCTTATCAACATCAAACTTAGAGAAAGAGTTCTTGGGATCAAGACATGAGAAGCAATCAAAGATAATGTTACTTCCTTCACTAAAGCGGTGATCCATCTCCACACATATTTTGTCAATAGCAACATAAAAAATCTCTGCACGGTAATGATGAAGATTAGTGATAGTTCTTCCTTCCACCCTTGAATGACCCCGAACTGGTATTTCGTCATCCATATTTGGCACCGGAATACCTTTAGCAACACAAAATTCTTGGACATCAGCAAATAAATCATCCCAACCACTATCTCTCATTGTGGCCAACCGAGCTTTGACAACATCAACTAATTCCATGGCAATCACAATATTAAGATCTTTTCTTTGCAAGACATGTGAAAGCTCGTTTGTAATACCAAACAACTTTAACATTAACTTTAAAATAAAAGCAAATTTAAAGCTCTCCATTTTTTCTATCAAACCTGTTGCTTGAGATGGTCCACGTCCATCTTCATCAACCATACTAAGCACATTTAACACGGAGGACCACATTTGATCCAAACGAAGCAATGTAGTATGATGTGAACCCCATCTAGTATCCCCGGGTCTAGTGAGACTAGATGATTGGTGCAAACCCCTTCCTCTAAATATCTCACCACTCTCAAGTTTATTTAAAATATCTTGGTGTTGTGCCTCCGTCAAAGCATCCCTCCTCTTACAAGATGCACTTGTTGTGGTCACAATCAAGGAGATGTACTCAAAGAAATCATGAATAGATGAGCAACTACTAGCAACAGACACAACAACCAATTGCAAACGGTGAGCATAACAATTGACATAGAAAGCATAAGGGTTTTCGTCTAGAATCTTTCTTTGCAAACCATTAAATTCACATCTCATATTTGAAGCTCCATCATATCCTTGGCCTCGTATCCTTGAAATAGATAACATGTACTTATCAAGAATACCATAAAGAGCATCCTTTAATGACTCAGATGTCGTATCTTTGACATGATGTAGAGCAATAAATCGTTCCACAACATTCCCTTTGTCGTTCACAAACCTAAAACAAATTCGACAAGTTTACTTGTCAGCATAAAGAATAATAGGTAATGAAAATTAGAAATTGGAAAATACTACTACTAACCTCAACATCACCGCCATTTGCTCTTTGACGGATATATCACGTGACTCATCAATAAGCACGGAGAATTGTCTATCACCAAGCTCTCCCAAAATCACCTTGGTAACTTCATGTGCACAACACATTGCAAGCTCCTTTTGAATTTCACCGGAAATCATTGTGCAATTTTTTCCACCACGGTCAAAAGCATCTTGCACTTGTTCATTCTTAACTTTTACCCAATCTACCGTCTCTCTAAAATTGCCCTTATTTAGAGAAATAGAGGATTCATCATGGCCACGGAAAGACATGCCTTGTGCAATGAGATATCTTGAACAATCTACAGAACAAGTTAAACGAATCTTATACAATTCTTCTGATTCCTTGGTTGCTTTAACAAACTTACTTGCCACACTTTGTCTTTGATTATTATAATCATCGTAGTGCTTGACACATGAGTTGTGAAAACTATTATGACTACCAACATGATCTTTCAAGCCTTTAGATGCATGCTTCCAATCTTTATATCCGCTTTTAGTGAAGACTTCAAAACCAAAGTGCTCGGCCCTCCCGGGTTTCTTAAAGAGAAAGCAATAAAAACAATAAGCTGCATCCTTGATCTCACTGTATTCTAACCATGTATAATTCTTATACCATGATTTACTAAATGCTCTTTTAACACTTCCAAATGGAGTACGAGGAAAGCTTGGCAATTATGTTTGCATTGGACCTTTCAATATATATGCCCTCCTCACTAGATCTTGAATATCCGGAGCATACTCATCAATTTGTTTCCTATGACCTGGATCACGCACAATCTCATTTGGGTTAAACTCATTAACCACATTAGGCGGAGGTGGTTCTGGTTCTGACTCAACCAAAAAACTCGTCATCTCTGAAAAAAATCCAAACATAATCACTTATAATATGGTAAATAACATTACAGCAGCACAATTAACATTTGAATCATAGTTTCACAACAACGGGGTTACAATTGAATAGGTCACATTACAACAGCACAATTAATGTGGTTCTACCAAATTTCTTAGTTAAGCACAAAATTAAACGTGTCGCCACTTTTTGGTACAAAATTTCTAGCTAGTTGAAATTAACATATAGTTTCTGTATGTCCAACTTGTACAACTTGTACAGCATATAGTAATGAAATGTGCATTATACTTGTTTTACAATTGTGATAAACTCATTTTACAAATGTGATAAACTCGTGCATTTATATTCCATCGGGTTTTAAATATTCAGCAATATCAGAATTACAGCAAAAGAATGCATTGCAAATCATACACTAATCCAACACAAGAATTAAAACAAGTATTTGCAGCCATGCTTTCAACATTCAACCAACTTATGTGCCAGAAGCACCAACTTAAAAACCAATAAGTAATATCAAATTTACGGAGCTGCAATCAAAACAGAATTGAAGCAAATTCGCAATTGAAACGCGTAATATACGGATACGCAATGCAAAAAAATTGAAACAAAATAGCTGTCATAGCAGCACTGCATAGTATAAAAGCCAAGATAGTTACTGCTAATTATCACAAATAGCTAACAACTGATAAAAGAAAGCAGAAAATTTGGAAGAATATATAACTACCAAAATATAATAAATACCGAAATTAGCATTTCAAACACCACTAAAACAAAACATCATTTTTTTTAGTAGATCATAAGAAAAAAACATTTGTCAGATATGTTGTAACTAATTCCAACCATAAGTACCATAAATTAGTACTATAATTCCTATTCAAAATATTGAAATTCATACAAACTATTTTTTCCTACTGCCATCAATTAACTATCAAAATATGTACTATTACATATCACTGCTTCAGAAGCATTCATGCAAAAATGAAGCCCAAAAACAATCTACTCTCCACAAAATATCAAGTTCGAACATTCTCCACTGTTTGTGGAAACTCAAGTTTGGGCAAGAGCTCAAAGGCATTGTAAAATTTTTACTGTCATCAATTCCATATTTCCATTCAACCATTCAACAAATTCAATTCCATTATTCAACCATTCAACAAATTCAATTCCATTCAACCAATTCAATTGCTAAAATTATAGAAAAAATTGGTTTGGATTCTTCAACAAAATTTTCTACATCATAAAATTGTAGAAATAAGCATAACAAATTGTAAATTTTCTACTTAAGCATAGAACTTACATTGGCTGATTTCAGGACACATTATACAGTGAAAGACTGAAAGTGGCGGCACGCTGGCACCGACATAGATTTTAGATTTGGGGAGTTGGAACGCAGCCACGCAGGGACGGTTCTTGGACAACGTTTGTGGAATAGTGGCGGTGCGGCGAGTTGGACGACGTTGGCGGAATAATGGCGGTGGTGCGGCGAGTTGGACGGACGGAACAGTGAGTTTTGCGTGAACGGTGAACTGAAGTGAACCCTTATTTTCTTTTTCTGTTCATTTTTCTTTTTCTTTTTCTGTTCATTTT